TCTTTCTTTACCATTTAACAGACCAAGCTGGCCCTGAACTCATAGATCCACCTGCTTCTGCCTCCCAAGTTCTGGGACTAAAGGTGTGTGCCACATATCTGGCTGCTTTATCATCGGGAAATTTGTTAATGTTCTAGGCTTTGGAGGTGTTTTGAGACAGGCTTACTATGTAGCCTTGGCTGGCTTTAAATTTGTGGTAATCCTCCTGCGTCTGTTTCCTCACTGCTGCTGGGACTACAGTTAGGCACCACTGTGCCCAATTTTGCAAAAAACCTGACTGTTACTATAAAATAATTAATATGCATCTGCATTTTATTGCACCATTATGTTTAACAAAATTAACATTAATATCTTATCTCTAGTTCACATTTATCTATATCACATTTCCCCAAACATAGTGTGTGTGTGTGTGTTCGCACGCATGCGTGCCTAAATGTTACGGTATCCTTAAAATGAGTTATAAAGTTTTGTCTTTAAAAACATAATTAATTGCTGGGCTGTGGTGGCGCATGCCTTTAATTCCAGCACTTGGGAGGCAGAGGCAGGCGGATTTCTGAGTTCGAGGCTAGCCTGGTCTACAGAGTGAGTTCCAGGACAGCCAGGGCTACACAGAGAAACCCTGTCTCAAAAACAAAAAAACAAAACAAAACACAAAAACAACAACAACAACAAAAACATAATTATTTTTAGCCAGGCATGATGGTACACATCTTTAATTCCAGCACTGGGGAGGCAGAGGCAGGTGAATCTGAGTTGGAGGATAGTCTGGTCTACAAAATGAGTTTCAGGACAGCCAGGACTACACAGAAACCCCATCTCGAAAAACCAAATCAAAACAAAATAAAAAAAGCCCTATCAGTATTTTCATGTGTGTGACACATCTGTGGAGGTCAGAGGATTGTTTATTTTTGAAAGAGGGTCTCTCACACTCTATAGCCCTAGTTGGTCTAGCACTTGCTGTATAGATAAGGCTAGTGTTGAGCCCACCGAGCTCCCCACCTGCCTTTGCCTCCTCAGTGCAGGGACTAGAGACATTAACCACCATACTTGGCCAGAAGACAACTTTTCATAGTTTCTTCCTTCTGTCATGGGTTCTAGGGATCAACTTCAGATTGTCAGGTTTCCATAGCTTTTGCTGGCCTATCTTGCCTGCCTTTCCCCATTCAAAAATATTTTAGTGTATGAGTATATGAATACATGTGCCTGAAGAAACCAGAGGCACTGGATGCCTTTGAAGCTAGAGTTACAAGCATTGGTAAGCCACTTAATGTGGGTACTGGGAATTGAACTCAGGTACTCTGGAAGACCAACATATCCTCTTAACCATTAAGTCATCTCTCTATGCCTTATCTCCACTTAGAAAAAAATGAGTTTTATTTTAAAGGTGTTTAGAAACATTTCCTTACATTATTTTTGCTCAGACTAAGATAGCACCTCCTTGTTATCCTAGAGCACGCCAGAGCCTGGTCTGTGACAAGTAGCTGCAGCCAAGAAGTAAGCAGTGGGCTCTGGACTCTATTTTACTGATAGCCTAGCATAGCCTTGCATAGCCTAGCATAGCTTATGTTCTCAAAGAATTTAGAATTTGGGTATCAGTACTACCTACTAAACCGTGGGCATTATCTTTTCTGGATTTTAATATATTTGATACTTGCAATGCAGTTTAATAATGTAAGCATTAAATACTGTTGGCATTTCAAATCCTAATAATGTACAATTTTCTCCTGTACTTTCCCCCAAGTATGTTTTAATGGAATTGTTTGCCTTTCCTGATTGTTTTCTATAGTGGGACACAGCAGGCCAGGAAAGATTTCGAACAATCACCTCCAGTTATTACAGAGGAGCCCATGGCATCATAGTTGTGTATGATGTGACAGATCAGGTAAGTTTCTAGAGAATATTATGTGTTACCAACAAAGTAGGAAGTTATTTTTTGTGTATGTGTGTGGATTTTTACATACTCTCACTGTGTAGTTCTGGCTAACCTGGACCCACTATGTGGACAGGCCACCCTTAAATGCTTTTGAACAGCCCTGTAACAACTTTTGGTCAGAAATTTATTTTTACTATTCGAGAAATAGAAACAAATAATAACTCATTTTCTTGTAGCAAATGTTAACTCTGAACTATCTGAATTATATAGTTAATTTGGAGATAACTTAAGAGATTTACCATTGCAAGCAAAAGATAAGCAAATATGAATAAGGAAAGAAAATGCTACATTAGCATGATTCATGTGCCTCTAGTTCAGCTACTTGGGAGGCTGAAACAGGATCTCAGGAGCTCATGAGATTGAGACCAGCCTAGGCATCATAGCAGGATCTCATCTCAGGAAAGCGAACACCCAAAGCAGACCTAACTTGGTAATTGTAAACATGTAGTCTGTTACCATAATGTTTGTTGGTTCTTCAGGACGAGTTTCTCTCTAGTCTTGGCTGTTTATAGACAAGCTGACCCTAAGCTTAGAGATCTGTCTGCCTCCATCCCCAAGCACTGGGACTAAAGGCATTCACCACCATGCCCAGCCTAACGTAACATAGTTTTATGTGAAAAACAAAACAGGGAAAATCCTCACCTAGTTTTTAGTAGGCTGCAGCTGTTTTTGTATATTGGGCTGGCCTGGAACTCAAGAGATCAATCAGTCTATGTCTATCTCCCAAGTACTGGAATTAAAGCTGTGCCAGTGCATCCACTCATAAACCAGAATTTTACTGTTTCAGAAACTAGGTCTTGTCCGTATTTTAAAATTTCAATTTAAAATTGGGTTTGCCTGTCATTAAGTTTCAACTGTTTCCTCTTCCAAATAAGCCATTTTCACTTCAGGCTTTGGTTCCTTCTTAGCACTGACTGGGTGTTAGTTGATTTCTTTCCTTAGTTAGAGCTAACAGTGGCCTCAAGCCTCTTCTCAGGTGATGATCACCATTCTTCTCTCCTTAGGAGTCCTTCAATAATGTTAAACAGTGGCTGCAGGAGATAGATCGCTATGCCAGTGAGAATGTCAACAAGTTGTTGGTAGGGAACAAATGTGACCTGACCACAAAGAAAGTCGTAGACTACACAACAGCAAAGGTACGTCTGAGGTTTGACTTTCACTGAATTTAATTATGGGGACTGCCTCACTCTTTAAAAGCCAGTGAGCTTAGTGCCCCATTCCCATTTCAGAAGGCAGTAACAGACTGAGTCAGAAAGATTTTCCATTGTTCATTGTGCCTTATTCTCTCAGGAATTTGCAGATTCCCTTGGAATTCCATTTTTGGAAACCAGTGCTAAGAATGCAACGAATGTAGAACAGTCTTTCATGACGATGGCAGCGGAGATTAAAAAACGAATGGGTCCTGGAGCAACAGCTGGTGGTGCAGAGAAGTCCAATGTTAAAATCCAGAGCACTCCTGTCAAGCAGTCAGGTGGAGGCTGCTGCTAAAATCCGCCTCCGTCCTTCTCTCACAGCAATGAATTCGCAATCTGAACCCAAGTGAAAAACAAATTGCCTGAATTGTACTGTATGTAGCTGCACTACGACAGATTCTTACCGTTCCCACAAGGTCAGAGATTGTAAATGGTCAATACTGACTTTTTTTTTTATTCCCTTGACTCAAGACAGCTAACTTCATTTTCAGAACTGTTTTAAACCTTTGTGTGCTGGTTTATAAAATAATGTGTGTAATCCTTGTTGCTTTCCCGATACCAGATCGTTTCCCGTGGTTGGTTAGAATATATTTTGTTTTGATGTTTATATTGGCATGTTTAGATGTTGGGTTTAGTCTTCTGAAGATGAAGTTCAGCCATTTTGTATCAAACAGCACAACCAGTGTCTGTCAGTTTCCATGCATAAAGTTTAGTGAGACGTTATATGTAAGATCTGATTTGCTAGTTCTTCCTGGTAGAGTTATAAATGGAAAGATTACACTATCTGATTAATAGTTTCTTCATACTCTGCATATAATTTGTGGCTGCAGAATATTGTAATTTGTTGCACACTATGTAACAAAACTGAAGATATGTTTAATAAATATTGTACTTATTGGAAGTAATATCAAACTGTATGGTGATAAGTATTGTTTTAATTCCTATGGTTAAAGGGAAATAGAGCTTTGCATTATACTCAACAGCCATGTGTGTGCAGCAAGGGCACTGTAGACCTATCTTAATAGCACAGCATCCAGTGTTTGCTTTCTAGTAATAGGTCTGATGAGTGACCTGGAGAAGCTTTTGTGCTGTGTAGAGACTTCACCAGCTTCATTGGTTCAAGGAACTCAAACTGTATGGAAAGGTTGTGTGCTTCCTAGCGCTTCATCTCCAGCCCAAACCATCTGAAGTGGCCTCACCAGCAACACTTTTTCATGCATCTGTGGTAGAGATGGAGAACAGCACATGTTTCCTCATAGGCAGTGATCTGGTAATATGTGCTAGTGTTTCTTCATGCTGAGTCTGATGGAACACACACTCTTTTATTTTATTTTTTTTTTTTTTGGCTATTGGAGACAAGCTTTCTCTGTGTATCCCTGGCTGTCCTGGAACTCTCTCTGTAGACCAGGTTGGCCTCGAACTCAGGGATCCACCTGTCTCTTTCTGAGTGCTGAGATTAAAGGTGTGTGCCACCACGCCTGGCTTTTTTTCCCTTTATTTTTTGAGACATGATCTTACTAGTTAGCCCTGGCTAGCCTGGAACTTAAGTATGTACAACAGGCTGGCCCCCCACAGAGAAACACCTGCTTTTTCCTCAAAAGTGCTGGGATTAAAGGCATGTCCCAGACTGCACCTATTTTTTGAGACAGTGTCTCACAGCTCAAGAGGCCTCAAATTCACTTGTAACCAAGGATGGCCTTGAACTCCTGGCCTTCCTGCTTCCACTTCAGGTGTCAACTTTATCCTTTCCAACTGTATGACTGACGTTGGAGGAAAGTTTAAGCATTAGACTAGAAAGCAGGAAATGTTGATTGCCCTAATTGTAGAAATTCTATCCCCCTAAATTAACTGAAAATATGAACGCTAGATGGGAATGATGGGAGAAATAATATATTTATTTCAGTGAAATTTTGCATGTGTGAAAGTTTTGTTAACTAGGACCTTTGAGATCCTAGACTTTGCTTTTGTCTTACTGTGGGAAACAAAGTCTCTTGCAGACATTAGCATTTTAAGGTGACAAAGGTCCGAGATTGTTTCCTTTGGTTTAAGCAGCAGCCAAGCATTCTTCAATTGGGGGCTTAGGGTGTGGCTGTTGACAACACATTTTATTATGGGGTCTTTAATGATAAAATATTAAACTAAAAATAAGCCAAAAATTACAGGTTTATTTTTCACTAAACAGACAATTGAAATACATGGTACAAAAATAAGTGGTAAGATTATTGTAAAATGAAAAATGGACAGAATAAATATTCAATTTAATTTTCCATCTATGAGAATTTCACAATAAAATCATAGTTTACTTTGTATTATAGATGCGCTTGTTGGGTCTATTCATCCTTATGTATATATAAAAGGTAACCGGAAATTCCTCAAGTCACCAGTAATTGGGTCAATATCTTTTTTTTATTGTATCTGTTGAGTTTTTTTTTCATGTCGATACAAAGGGAGAAAGAGTTCATAAACTGTTTTCTGTAATAACTAAATGATACAAAACCAATATAAGATGAAATGATGCCAGGCATTTTAATTTTACACAGCAAAAGTTGTTCAAACTCTCAGCTTATTCTGTTAGCAGAAAACATTACTTGAATTTATTTTTAATATAAACATATTTACAGACTTTGTAAAGTAAAATTCTAGTGCTCTTTCCCCACTGGCAGCAAGATTAGGGCTTACTAGACCATTTCAGCATGCTTCACTATTTGCTTTTACGTATGTGCTGATAATTGCTGTTTTGGAGGGGGAAATAACCCATTTTTCAAGTATAGACATTTCAAGACTCTAATTTGTTCACATAATAGAAGACTCCCTTGGTATGTTTTAAGAGGTAACTTGCATAACGAAGCGCATTCTCTCAGAGGCCCTGGCGCACCCTAACTCCTGTGCTCATTTGGATAAAGTCCCCTCAGCACATATTTGGCCATACCTTGTACCACTATGTCTCCTTTGGGTTCCACCTAAGTTTCAAAACAGCCCGTGTTTGAATTCTCTTGTTTTGTGCTAGAGCTTAGCTGTAGACCTGTCTCGAGATGCTACTTTACTGTGAATTCAATGAACTTTAAGCGACCCATTTATAAATTTTCTAAAAGGCTATTTGAGTCTATCCTGGCCACATTTGCACATGGAAATGGCAGTGACATCCAAGGCTGAGACAAATTTAGCTCAAATATAACACACACCAGAAGATGTAATTAACATTTGTGTTTATATTCCTAAATGGCATTCACAGCCAAGGTTAGAGTTATACCCTTTAGTTACAAAAAAGTCTATCTTTTTGTTACAAAGAGGATGAGCAAAAGCATAGACCATGTTCAGGCAAGTACTCTGTTGGGAAACCATGTTCCCTGTCAGTTGAATCGATTGTAACTACACAGTAAATGAAGAGGAGTGCCCCAGTTTGCATTTAGTTGGTGCAGCTGGCTAGCTCTCTAAGAGTCTCCCCTAGCTTTCATGCTTGTCAGATGGGTTTAATACCTGAGGGCTCCTAACATATTGGTGGGAAGGCAGTTTAAACATCAAAGAAGTAAGATGTGCTTTTGACCAATTCTAGGTTTTATAGGGTGTTTTACATTTAACTTAATTATTTGCTAGAAATTTTTTTTTGCCTTTTTGAAAGAACTTTTTGCATCATGTATAGTATAAGAAATAAGCTTAACTTAAGAAATGGCAGAATAAAACTAATTTGAGCTGGGCAGTGGTGGTGCATGACTTTAATCCCAAAACTTGGGAGTCAGAGGCAGGTGGATCTCTGTGACTTTGAGGCCAGCCTGGTCTACAGAGGGAGTCCTAGTACAGCCAGAGTTCTCTTACATGAAGAAACCTTGTCTTAAAGAGCCAAAAACAAACCAGTAACAACAAAAATCTTTAATTTGGATCATGCCCATAAACATTACAGTAAGTCATACTGTGTAGCAGCAGACATGTGAAAATACTGTATTTTATATATACTTACTGAATAGCTAATCTTTTTTTCTTTATAAAGCTCTGGCTAGCTTGGACTCTAATTAACAAACCTGGCTGGCCTCAAACTCAAAGAGCTACTCTCAAGTGCTAGGATTAAAGTCATGTACATGCTTATCTAAATAGCAATTTTTTTTTAAAGCTGAGAAGCCCACCTTTGATACTTTGTGGAATATGTGGTAGCCAGCATACAAATACTTTGCTTCAAAAGCTGTAACTGATGCTCTGAACAACTGATAGATAGATACGGACCTAGATAGATAGGTCCATAGAATTTTCTTCTTCCTAACAAGGTGACTCCCAAACCACAAAGACTCCCCACCCCCTTTCATCACCAGTGGCTGCTTTAATTTATGTAGAGATCAGACTTGTGGCTATTTCCACCCATTCCCTTCCTTGACTAGTCTTCCAAGGGAAAGAGGTAGCAGATTGAGTGCCCCAGAGGTAAGCAAAAGCTTGCAGTTCAGAAGCAGGCCAACTCCTGAGGCATTCTCGATATGGCTGAAGTGGAGACTAACTACTACAGGTGGCACTGTTAGAATGCTGCCAAAGGATGCTGTATAGTCCTCCTCACTTACTGTGGACTAAGGGCTGACGTCACACTCCACAGCTTTGGCCACTAACATTTTCCCTCTCTTAGATCCCATCCCCCCTGTATGCCTGAGAACCCCAAGTACTTGGAACCTTCTTTCCCCAGCAGTTTTCTGTAAATGGCCGCAACACATTGTATCTGCTGGTTTTTAAACAGAAGGGGGTACATGAGACCCACAAGTCTTAGTATTTTATCAAATAATTATAAAGCCACATATTTTTGGTAGAAAAGCACCAAAAGAAAAGGCCTTAGTTTGGAGGGATTCATGGTAAATGAAAACAGTAACTCAAGAACCCATCAGAGGTGAGAAAGGTATCTTAAAGTCTGTTAAAGTTGATTTTTTTTCCCCTGCCTTAACTGTTACATGGCCCTTACAAGGAGTTCTTGAGCTTTCTTCCCAAACTGCCATCTTCGCTGATGGTTCCACCTCTGCCTGAAAGAGAGAACAGCATGGGTTAGTCGTGCTGCAGAGGCAGAAATGGTGCTACCACATCTACTTCACTTGGATGCAAATACAAGTCCCCTTCACTACTTTTTTTTTTTTCCCATAAAGATGGTCTTGCTATGTAGCCTAGGCTGGTTTCTATGAGTCCTCTTGCTTCAGCCTCCAGAAGGCTGAGGTTACAGGTCTGCATCACCATCCTCCCTCTGCTGGACGCTCTGCTCTTGACAGATTTCCAGCATTTGCTCACTGAGATTTATTTGATAAACATTTTGTAAGAGGAAGTTCCAAAAAAAGCAGTACAATGTGGGATTCTGAAGTGATAGGTAGTAGAGATCCCAGGATAGGCACGAGGTGACCCTGCTTTTCTCTTGGCCTTTTCCTATCTCAGTCCCAGTTTGAGTAGTATCAGTTGTTAAGTCTCTAAGCTGTGTCATTCCCCAGTCTTTGGGGAATGATGTAGTATGTGAGGCCTGCAAAGACCCTTTGTAGCATAGGGACCCAGCAGGTAACTGGGTTTTGTAGATGTTTGTGTGTCAGAGATGCTTGGAGACAGGTGCTAAGTGAGTTGGGCGAGAAGAGTCTACAGGACAGGGCCAGTCTGGTCACAGCCCCACACTGGAGAAAGCAGCTGTAAGGATTCCTACTGTTGTTGACTGTGGGTAGCAGTAGAGGTAAAGAGAACTCAGGTATGGGAATGTGGGACGCTGCTCAGCAAGACATGTAAACAGATACTGGAAACAAAGTTGAGTTCTACCATAGGAAGACCCATGTTCCTGGCAAGGGTGTGACTCCTTCAGTACCATGGCCAGTCTTCCTTCAGTACCATGGGTTTCAATGAGTATTACCCCAGCCAAGTATCTAAGAAGTAATTACTTACTAGGATAGCCTTGTGCCCTTATTAACAGCAACTTCTCTCCTTGGGCTTCTCTACTTACTTAGCTAAAGCCCTTCATGCAGGTGGTGTTCTGTTGCTGTTGGCCTGTTGTCAGGGATGAGGGTGCAGCCAGCCAACATGTCCAGAGAGGCTAAGATAGAGTCATAAAGATGATCTGCACGGCTCTCCAGCTCACCAGACTGCTTTGCGATCCTCCCAAGGACATCCTTTAAAACTAATGGTCACGTTATAAAAAGGTGTAGCATTTTGCTCAGATAGAACTGTAACAGTTTCACAGTGACTTCTCCCTACCCCAGCAGGGTCTTACATAGCTCACGCCGACCTCTAACTTTATCTGATATGACCTTGAACTCTTGATACAGGTATTTAACTTTGCATAAACTACTGTAGTGTTATGCCTTTCTGGGGACCGAAGCCAAGGTTTTATGTAAGATAGGCACACACTCTACCAACTGAGCCACACTCCCAGCCCATTTAATCTTCTTTTAAACAGTGATGATGTTCCAAAGGCTCCAGAGGCTTATGTATTGGGGAAGTTTGTGGACTTTTGGGGGTAAAAAGGATCAGTGACCAAAACTGGACTAATGGTTTGAGAATAGGCTAAGATTCAGTCCTGCATGTCCCAAGGAGAAGAGGGAGGTGCTAGGGTTAGAGTACTCACAAATGGCTGGCTCTTTTGTTAAATATAAAAGCTGCTCGCTTCCTGTGCTTTATCAGCTGTGTTAAGTGCTCCCTAGCTTCCTGCCAGAGAGCAACATCTGCCAGCAGAGGCTGAGAAAGGGGAAGTCTTTGTTCTGATCACAAAGTGGACTAGATGGGGCCGGAAGGGAAGGAGCAGCCGCCTGGGTGTGTTGAGATCAGCCCCTTAGGAAGGCACGTCAGGGCAAAAGTGCTGGCCTGGAGCTAGTGGCAGAGGAATGTTGTCAGGGTGGTGTTCAGTCTTCCTGTGTCAGTGGAATTCTGGGGCTTTTTATTTGAAACTATAAACAGGTCATGGAAGAAAGGCTAAAAAGGGTACAGGTTTCTTTTTCTTAAAATTTATTTATTATGTACAGTGTTCTGCCTGCATTATGCCTGCAGGCCAGAAGAGGGCACCAGATCTCATTGTAGCTGGTTATGAGCCACCATGTGGTTGCTGGGAATTGAACTCAGGACCTCTGGAAAGGCAGACAATGCTCTTAACCTTTGAGCCATCTCTCCAGCCCTTTTCCTGGTTTTGTTTCCTTTTTCTTTTCGTACTTTAACTGTACACATACATATGGGGGCCTCATTTGGTGTAATTCCCATGAGTCCCAGTCATATGACTCATAAGCAGTGGAGTGTAAAAGTGTCAGCCTATATTTCTGTAGCTAGGTCAGACTTCCTTTGGCAGGGTGCTGACATAGGGCCTCTTGGCAGTAGGGGCAAGCCTCAGTCACACTCCTGCAGTTACACTTGGAGCCAAGTAAGAGAGCAGGCTCTGAAGGACCAGCATGGAATGCTGTGTGTGCTGACAGTAGGCTTTTGGGAAGAGGAAGTATGTAGTGTCAAGACTAACTTGAAACTTGAACAAAACTGCTAAGCTTTCCAATTATTCTAGACAGAGGGCTGGGAGTGGTTAGAGTACCAATCTGAAGGTGTCTGGATTAATATCTGAGACTCAAAACCAAAAACCTCTTCTGGCCAGTCTGACCCCTAAGTCTCTTTTCAGAGTAGGACAAAGTGGGGTGTTCTTGTTGGCTTACTCATTTAAGTATTAATGGATTTATTTCAAAGTGAAAGTCAAAATAGCTTTTGGCAGCCTTCTATTACACATGGCCTCTGTGAAGAGAAGGCCTATACTGAGCTCTTTCTGCTCAGGCCCTGTATCTTCAGACTCTAGATAGCAGCTGCAAGTTTCTCTAGCCCCATGCTAAGCTTGTTTGGTAAATGCCAGTGTTGTCAGAAGCAATAAAGCTTGCTACACCAAATTTCTGCCCCAATATAAAACCTAAAACTTGAGGCTGGTTTGATGGCTTAGCAAGTTAAGGCATTTACTACAAAAGCTTGCAACCTGAATTCAATCTTTAAAACATGTAGAAGGGTAGAAAAGAACTAACTACACAGGTTACCACCTGACCACCTCCACACACATGGGATGGCACAGACAGACAGACAGACAGACACACACACTCACACACAAAACAACAAAAAACCCACTAGGGCTTAGCCACAAAGCAACACCTAAAAATCCTATGTCAGAGAACATAGGAAGAGTTTCAAAACAGGCCTTCAGAGAAGCAGGGGAGGCAAAGGGCTCACCAGTTCACACTGCTGGAGACCTGTTAGTGGTTGCTTTCCATTGAAACCTCTCCATGTGTTCACTTCCCAGGGTACAATTGGCACTGCCTGGAAATGTTTTAGGGTGTTAGCATTGCAGGGGTCTGAGGGCTTCTGTGATGCAAAACATCTTGCAATGCACAGGAACACCCCTACACAACAAAAAGCTACATAGTTCTATATGGCAGCAGTACCAACCCTGAGAAACGTTGTTCTATAACTTCCAGTAGGCGCCTGGCCATCACTTCTCACATGGTTCATCATGGACATGTTTATGCCATTTAGTTCCCATGTAAATACTCCCCCTGGAACTGAGGCACAATATAACTGGATTCTTTCAGCACCTACCTGTATAGTACTACATGACATTAGTAGCTACTAATAAATCAACTTAAGGCTTTAAGGCTGCATATGGACATCAGTTCTTGGCAACAAGCAGTTAAAAATATTCTTGAAATATTCTCATATTTTGCTCAGTTTAGATATTATCCTACAAATGGGTTTGAGTCTAGCTTGTATGTGACTGTAACCCTGACCCTGATCAGTTCATTCCTCCCCCCCGACCCCCCGCCCCCAAGGTTCTCGTGTAACAGCCCTGGCTGTCCTGGAACTTACTTTGTAGACCAGGCTAGCCTCGAATTCAGATCCAACTGTCACCTGAGTGCTGGGATCAAAGGCATGCATCACCACGTCCAGCTCCTGCTTAATCATCAAAATCCATCCATCCATCATCCATCCATCCATCCATCCAACCATCAGCCATCCATATGTGAAATGTATTTAATGTATTCTGATCATACAGTTCCCAACTCATTCCCCTAGTAAGTCAAAGTCTTTAAGCAGTCTGTTCCTGAAAAGCAGACTGTTAACTTTTTTGTGACACAGGGCTCCAGGCTGGTCTCTGAGGGCTAGGTAGCAGGCTGAGCAGTGACTGTCTGTAGCCAGAAACCCTTCCTAAGGTAGAGAACGTAAAGCAGAGAAGCCTACCAGTCACACTCGAGCTAACAGCACAATTAGAGGCTTACATTGACCACCCTAGCCACAACTAAGGGCTGCTAGATCAAATTCCAGATTCCTGGGCCTGATTTTGAGAGAACCAGCTCTTAAAAGTAGACCTCTTGTTTCTACACCTGTGCCATGCACACATCACATTTACTCAGACGTCATTTCTTGGGGACTGGCAGGATGGCTCAGAGAGGTGAGTGTTTGCTATGCAGCCCGCACAGTCAGAGCTAGATACCTGGAAGCCATATAAAAAAGCTGAAGGAAGGGGTTAGAGAAATGGCTCAGAGGTTAAGAGCACTCCCTGGCATTCTTCCAGAGGTCCCGAGTTCAATTCCCAGCAACCACATGGCAGCTCTTAATCACCTGTAATGAGATCTGGTGCCCTCTTCTGGCTTGCAGGCAGAATGCTGTATGCATAATAAATCTTAAAAAAAAAAAAAAAGCTGAAGAAACAAAAGGTGATTCAGCAAGATGGCAGGCATAGGGAAGCAGCCAGGGCAGCATGCCTATGCCCTTGCCTCTAACAAGGTGAAGAAACCTCACATACTACATTTAAAAAAAATATTTTTTAAGAAAGAATGTACTTCTTGTAGGCTTGGTGCCTGGTTTATAATAGGCTTACTTTTATGCCTGTAACTCTACCATCAGTTGTCGGGGACAGTGATGGAAGAGGCAGAAGGTGTTCTTTGTGGGATTCTCTTAGGCAGTGTGAATCTTTTTTTTGAGACAGGGTTTCTCTGTGTAAGGCATGCAATCTTTTCTTGCATTTGGTACACATGCGTGCGTGCACGCGCGCGCGCACACACACACACGTTTGAAAACAAAACACCTCAAACAAATATAGACAGACATGCATGGTGCTGGAGGTGTCTCAGTGGTTAGGATAACATACAGTTCTTCTAGAGGACCTGAGTTCATCGAATTGTACTGCTTACATCCCACTGTAGCTCTAGGGGATTTGATGTCCTGGCCACCAAGGGGACCTGTACTCACATGCATATACCTTCACAGAGATACATCCATACCTAAAAATAAAATCTTTGAAAAAGGGGGAGGCATTGGGCATGGTGGCATAGCCTCTAATCCCAGCACTTGAGAGGCAGTGGCAGGTGGATCTCTGTGAGTTCAAGGCCAGCCTGGTGAGTTCCAAGACAGTCAGGGCTATTGTATAGTGAGACCCTGTCTCAAAACAAACACAACATTATCGGGCTAGCACAGTAGATCTCAAAGGTGTTGCTGCCAAGTCTGATGACTCGGCTTTGACCTCTAGAACCCACATAATGTACAGGGATTCAAATAAGCACACAAGGCTACCAGGAGCTAGGAGACTGTCTCACAAAATCAGACTGCAACTATGGTGGCTCAAGCCTGTAATCCCAGGACTCAAGGCACAGACAGGAGAATCCATCCTTACAGATTCAAGGCCAACCTGGCCTATATAGTGAGCTCTTGGCTACCCCAGCAATAAGAAACAAAGCAACTACTAGTGTTACTAGTCATCTGATTAACACATGGATGAATGATGTAGATACTTCAGAAGCTGGTATTAGAAAAGGCCAACAAATCTATGAAAAATACTCAGTATTGTTAATCATGAGGGCAAGACTTCAGTGATTCATCATCAGTTAAAATGGCTAGTAAAATGATGGTGGTGAGGTCATGACGATGGTGTCACACTGGACCCACAGATAAGTAAATTATGTGTATATAAACATACCCAAACAGAGTTGCTCTCGGTTACCCACCTGGGGTGTTCTCCAGCAAGCACTGAAGCAGAGTCTCCCCCTTCTCCAAGACGCTCTCCGTCAGGGACTGATGCTCGTCTACATCTTTCTTAAATTGCTTAAGACATCAGGAAAAGAAACATTTTAATACTATTGCCTGTGGAAGTCGTCTAAAATGAACACTGTACCACTGGGTTACACTAGACCTCTCTGACATGGAAGACAGGCAACATGCATTCAAAAATCCCTCCGTGGTCTACTAGTGTCAGCTTCTGTGAGCCTATACATTCATTGTCTTTGTTTTTGAGACAGGCTGGTCCTATAGAGGCTCTTTACTCTCCCTTGTGGTAGGATTATGAACCTGCACCGTCAGACCCAGCTCAACAGAAAATTGTCCCCAGAAGAGGCTGTCTCAAACAGGTGATTTCATTTTGTATCCTACTTGATGGTGTTCTGTAATTCTGAGGTATGGGGTTGACAACATAAACCACACCCTTAAAATGAACATGGTAGGTAAGCACTACAGCAGCAGTTTGCCACTGCACTGACCATGCAGAGCTGGGCCCTCTCTCTGACCCCTCTGTTGACCTCCATGCAACACCATGGCATCAGAGTAGCTGCTATTTTCTAAGAGCTCATCCAAGCAGATTTCCCCTTCCAGTTATAAGCCCTTGATTCTTATTCTCATTTTCCTTAAAGATAGGGTCTTATTATGCAGTCCAGGCTATCCTTGAACTCACTGTGGAGACTGGGCTGGCCACAAACTCATAGAGCTATACTTGCCTGTTTCCTCAGTGCTGAGACTAAAAGCAAGGGCCACCATTGTCAGCTATAGCAATTTTTTTTAAAAAAAATCTTCCTTTAGCCACTAAGAACTGTATTAAATTGAACCCATGACATGGGACAGACATCACTGTTTAGTATTTTGAAGGTGCTCATTTTATTCTTGGATTTGTTTTCCTGTCCTTTATTCTCCTGTGCTTAGCAGTTTAGACGCTCCCTCGTCCCTGCTGCATTAAGATGACATTCCAGGATAGGAGGGAGGGGATGAATGCCAGCTAGACTGGAAGTTGAGTCAGAGGGTGTTATGAGGGCTAAAATGGAGAATGTTCTAAGTCTATCTGACTTGTTCAGCTAGGCCAGGAAAAGCTACTAAGATAAGTCAGACAGAGCAACTCCTCTCCCTGGGACTCCTGGGGGCACTCTCCATGCACACAGGCACAGTGTCTGATCAGAGAACCTTCAGACTCAGCCTTCCTTGCCTTCCTCAAGTTTCTATCTCTACACTAACTGCACTCCTACCAGGGTGGGACAGCTGGCTAGCCCAGGCTAGATTTTAGTTGATTCCAAGACAGAAAACCAAGGCCTTCCCGTCCAGATGAGAGGTGGTTCTCATGATGCTGAGTCAGAGCCTGGTAGTAAACTGATTAAGCTCAAGAAGTAAATCTCATCCTCTGCTGCTTGAAGAAGTGTTAGGTTATAAAGATCTGTGTTCCTCCCTCCCCTCCAGACTAGCAGCAGGCCTGGGCTATAAACACTACCCTCCAACATGTGATCAAAACCAACCAAGGTTAACTGAGGCAGCAGTCATTGACTTAGCCTCCAATTCTCCCCCTCTCCCTCTCCCTCTCCCTCTCCCCCTCCCCCTCCCCCTCTCTCTCTCTCTATATATATGATATTCCCCCACCCCCCAAGACAGGGTCTCTCTGTGTAGCCCTGGCTGTCCTGGAGCTCACTCTGTAGACCAGGCTGGCCTCTGCCTCCTGAGTGCTGGGATCAAAGGCCTGCGCCACTATTGCCTGGCTCAATATACTTTTAATCTAGTATCAAGTGCACTAAAATTCACAGGTGTGAAAGAACAGACCTTAGTAACAAAAAGGCAGAAGTTCCAAACACAGGCACAAACTAATGTTGGATTTTGGGGTAAATTTGTTATAAATCTGTCCTATCACATCGCCCTGTCTGTGCCTGGATCCAGTACAGTTTCAGTTCAGCTCCATAAACACCAATACAGTCCAAAAGAACCTTTAGTGAGGTTGGTATGTTCTGTGTCTGTACTGCCTGGTGTGGCAGCCACTGCATAGCTGTGATGCACGTTAACTAATTGTCATACTTGATTAGTGTCTGTAAATCAAAGCCCAGGATTCTAACCCTGAAATATCTGCCAGAATCCCATGCAAACACCTCTAAAGCATTTCTGGTTCCAAAGAATATAATTATCCTCTTACCTCACAAGTTACCTCCTATTTTATAGTGTCAACACTGAGAATTTCAAAAGGACGTCTTAATTAGATTTATCAGATAAAATAGTCAACTGAGCTACAAGGTTCCAGTTACTTGAGATTTTATTTTGTAAAAGTGATTTAACTCCCATCCCTGTTGAGTGAACAAGCCAGGACTACAGATTACCCGGTAAAGCTGCAGAGAAGACTTGAGACCTGTAAGGCTGGCCCTGGGTGGAACACTGAGGTCAGCAACATCTGTGACATTATACAACCAGCAGATCAGCTCTTCCAGCTGACAGCAAAATGTCTGTGGAGACAAGAACAATTGGTGGGCTGGACTGAGCTCAGTGATGAAGTCTGCCTACTTCAGGCATGTTCAGGGCCCAGTACAACAAAAGAAGTCTACATGGTACATCTGACTGAGCTGCTATTTACCTTATCCGAAGGCAAAAAATACCAGTATTTTAGCACACACACTTTCTAGTTTTCTTTCATATGGTCATTTGTCTCCACCCCTACCCCAGGACTCCAGATATTCCTTTGTCAGGATAATGAATGCCATGCTTGGTTGTCTCAGGCTCAGAATGCAAGAACAAAGACCATTACCAACCACTAAACTTTGTATGCAGAAAAGCAGATGCATGAGGAATGAGTAAAGAGAACTACCTGAGCTACAGTGAACACTGTGGATCAACATCTACCAAGCACACGGAACACCGTTGATACACATGACTTCATTTCTCTGCCATTTTCTTGCAATCATTAAAGGAGAACAATATCTATAATTTGGGGTCATGTATGTTGAGGGTGCTGAGTCATGCTGTTGGTGGGCTGGGGAAAGACCACTTCTTCCAGAAGTTTCTCCATGAACATTTTTACCTGCACACACTGTACTAGAGAAGCTTTCTCCGGCTCTTCTGTTTTCCTAGGAAGCTTCTCTCCAGCCACTGGCTCTGAGAACAGCCTCCGGTCCGACATAGCTTTTGAGGAGGGGTGGGTTTTCAGTTGTTTTGAAGAGACCCCCAGGGTCTGGCTGCTCATCAGACTACTTTTGCCTCTAGAGTCCTGGGGCTGCATAGAATGCCTGAAGCAGGGGTTCTGGCCCACAGGCCCTTGAAAGGTAGTACCAGAAGGATGCTGCCTTTGGCTGGAGTCCAATGTGGGGAAAGCTGGCTCATCACTGTCTGAGACATGCAGTGAACTGTGTTCCTCAGCAGCCCCAGTGGGTAGGTTCACAAAGGTAGGCCTGGCACCTGAGTAGGACACCAAACTAGAGACCTGAGTCAGCCTCGTGGGCAGAGCGAGGTACTCCTCATCACTTCCCACCTCCTCTTCTGATGGCCATCCAGGCTTCACACAGGCTGGGCAGCCAACATTTTGTTTGCCTTTCTCCTCCCTCTCTAGTCTGGGAAAGGGAGGCTCTTTCTCCTTTGTCTTCAGTTGGGGAGAGCCCACACTGAGGTTCTTGCCTATAGGGAGACAGTCCTCTGCTGTGCCCCTCAGGGCTGCCTCTCTGGTCTCCCAAGAAGCATCTTCAGTGCCTGGGGCTCTAGGGGTCGATGCAAGCTGGTTCCAGGATACCAAGCTTGTGCCACCCCGTTTCTGGGATACTCCCAAGGACCAGCGCTTAAGACATGGCTCTCTGGCTCCAGAATATGGCAGAGTAGGCACTTCCGCTGATGAGCAATTGTGGGAGACATTAGTGGGCGACTTGAGAGTACTTGCTGGGGAGACAGAGAAACTATCCAGATCTACACCTGAGTCCTGCATGACAGGATCAGCCAGCACATGACTTTCCAGTTGCTTTGGGAGCTGAGGCCCTGGCCTCAGTGGGTAAGTGTAGTCAAGCAGATCTTCATACTCTTTATTTGGGTTCCAGAGTGGGGAGTGGCGGTTAGGGGAAGGAGGCAGAGAATTTGGCAGCACACAGGCCCAGTATTCTGCCTGAAAGGAGAGGTGTCTTCTACCCAGGCCTGTAGCATCACGGCTAGAGGCCACAGGCTGTGTTGACCACTGGAGCTGAGGCCCTGACCCCACCACAGAGTGGGCTGCCTGGGGTACAGTCAACTCCTGAGAGGAGACATTGGCAAAGGAGCCACCCTGAGGCTCTGCCTTCTCTTGGTGATCCTGGAGACTGCTGCCCACCGAGGAGGCAGAGAGGCTTCTGCTGGAGAGCTGAGGAGCCCCTGGGCTCACGGTGGACTTCCACTGTGACAGGAGAGGGGAGCCCGAGATGGGCGGCTGCTGGCTGAGGCCCAACACCTCACATGGATCAACTGCGGACTGGAAGTCTTCACTGTTGGCCTTGTGCCCTGAGCAAACAGTTATAGTTCCAAGGACTTTAACAGTGGGAAGTAGGTCCTGGGAGGCAGGAAGCCTGTTTTCCTCCATCTACAATAACAAGGGGGAAAGGGCACTGTGATGAAAATAAGCAGACTTCTTGTTTTTAAAGAACAGTTTTCTTCACAAGATTTAGGGAGGAGGGTCAGGAAGAATATCAGGAAAACACAGTTGGTCTAAGGATCCTACTGCTTAGTATACTAAGAAAAGGAAAAAACAAGGAAGGTAGAAAGAGATTTGCTGTGTGCCCAGCAGTATTCAGGGAAGATCTTAAAGTGCCCGCTGCTAGTGGTTAGTTCCAAGACTCATCCTAGCTTGAGAAGTCTCCTGCAACTAAGCCCTAACCGTCTTTTCAAAAGTTATTTATTCACTTTGTGAGAGGAGAACTCAAGACTTCTGCATGTAGAAGCTGGAAATCAATGCCTCTTCTTTGACTATGGGTCATGGCAGGTGAAACAATCTCCCCATCACCATTAACCACGGGGGTAGGGTGGGTGTACCTTGTTCAGTTCACGCACCTGTACTCTGGCAAAATGACTGCCTCAGCAAAGCCAGTCCCTCTTCACTCTGGATGTTTAGTCTTCAGTGAGTAACTCATCACAGAGGAAGACAGGGTAACTAACATAAGGACTTCAGAACCAGACTGACCTAAGGTTAACGAACTATTTCTACTACCTTCTGTAAGGCCCCCAGGTACTCTTCTCTCCCAGTCATGCTTAGAGCCTTCTCACAGGATGGGGCTCTGAGGAGAGAGCCAGCAGCCACAATATTCAAATCAAAGCTGTTCCTGGGCTGTGGTAGGCTGAACATAAGTTTCCAGAGCTAGGAGGAGCAGATCTCTCTCCCACTACAGAGGCTTAAAAGATTCAGAGCCTTGCATTGGCCTTAGAACATGGTGTGTGTGTGGGGGAAGTCCCTGCCCCACATGGTTTTCACTAGAAAGGACACTGCCTTGTCCTTCACAGCCATGGAGGTCAGACACTGCTGCCCACGAGGATCTTCAGGTTCTGACCAGTCCAAGAGGATTTGGTCTGGGAACCCACGGCCCTCTACTAAGTCTTCTCAGGGTCCCCTAGAAGTTTTCAGATCATTAAATCAGAAGCAGTATGGGGAAGGGGTTCCCTTGTTAAGAGATCCCTGATCCTAGTCCTCTTGACAGTAGGCTCCTGATGAACCTGTCACTGTCCTTAAGAGCTTCTCAGTGACTCTTTGGAACAGGAGATAACCACACAGAACCCTCTGCCAACTTCAAGGTCCAGCTCTCCAAGAGAAAACTGTAAAACAACTCATTCCTGGATCACACAGCTCCCACCTTATGGTGAGTGAGTGGGACAGAGGGTAACAGTCAAGGAAACGAACAGCCCCAAACAACAGCCCCAGCTCAGCTACAGTTTCAGCTACCTCCATACTTACTTGGCTTAAAAGCTCTCCAGTGCCCACACTGGCAGAAGGAAGTGGGCCACTGTGGGGAGGCTTAGACCTATCTGCTACTGGTTCTATGATGGCAGTGTGGGCCTGTGACAAGAAAACTCCAGAGATGCAGCCAGGGTCAGCCTCAGCCTTCCACAGTGGCTCTACCTCTACCTCTACCTCCAGATGTAGGGGCTGCTCTGGTTCAAGTTCTGGGGACAGCAGTTTCCCAGAGTTCCATCTGCCACAGGATGGGACCTTTGTGTTGACAGATACTTCTGCGTCAGCCTCATCTTCACCCAGGGCCATTGAGCCTCCCTTTTTAGGTTTCCTTTGAAGCCTTCAGGAACCTACAAAACCAGGGAAGAAAAGAGAAAATTAGATTTTCTTGATTTTAAGTGAAGACACTCTTTTCTGGCCAAAGGAACAGTGACCATTTCCATGTCCAAATACCAAAGTCTTCCTCAGCCCCACACCCTTTCACAGGGAATGCCCAAGTATGACTTTGTCCTCTGTCACTGTGGAATTGTCTCCCAAGGGACAGTACAGATATGACCAAACAAAAGACATGGCCAGCCTGTGCTGCGTAGGTTCAAAAAACAAAGCAACAGAAGAAAGAAAAATACTATAAGCCAGCTGGTCTGGGAGGAAGACCCATATCCCAAGGCCATCTTCCTTGCCTGGAAGCATACAAAGGTAAACCCAGTCTAATGGACGCCTTCCTACAGGTGGAGGTGTGTGACTAAGATACTTCCGACCCTGCCTGCTCATGAGATGCTTTTCAGTTCTGCACACCTCAGAACAGATCACTATGTCTTAGGGCTGCAGTTCAGAGAAAAGACTTGGTCCCTGTGTGTGTCACCACCTCTTTACCCCAACCTCATTAAGATGCCCAGCTTGTCTCTGCCAGGCACAGCCCCACAGTGGTTCTCTTCAGCCAATGGCTTGTTGGTTAGCAGCCTGAGTCTGGTTCTGTCCTTTCTACCCCAGAGGATAGCAAGTTCAGGTATGCTTAGACCTTCACTGGGCTCAGGAGGATGCTTCTAACTATTTTTGGTGGGAGGAGACAACCAGACTATGGACCAGATGGGGCTTCTCATTCAGTGACCAATGACCAGAAACAGATTAGCACCCTCTTTCAGGCTGCCTTCGTGTATGCTGACCTTGGTAGCCCCAGGAAGCCATAGAAAGCTGGGTGATAACTGGGTGAGTTCATGTGAGAAAGGAGAGCAACTCAGGCAGACTGGTGAGGGAGGAGCTGGGGGAGAAAAGAAAAGAAAAGAGGGGCTGGAGAGATGGCTCAGTGGTTAAGAGCACTGACTGCTCTTCCAGAGGTCCTGAGTTCAATTCCCAGCAACCACATGGTGGCTCACAACCCCCGGTAATGGCATCTGATGCCCTCTTCTGGTGTGTCTGGAGAGAGCAACAGTGTGCTCATACATGAAATAAATAAATCTTTGCCAGGCAGTGGTGGCGCATGCCTATGATCCCAGCACTTGGGAGGCAGAGGCAGGTGGATTTCTGAGTTCGAGGCTAGCCTGGTCTACAGAGTGAGTTCCAGGACAGCCAGGGCTACATAGAGAAACCCTGTCTCGAAAAACCAAAAAAATAAAAAATAAAAAATAAAAAGATAGAGAGAAAGAAAGAAAGGAAGGAAGGAAGGAAGGAAGGAAGGAAGGAAGAAAGAAAGAAAGAAAGAAAGAAAGAAAGAAAGAAAGAAAGAAAGGAGGAAAGAAAGAAAAGAAGAAAATCATTCTCTTCAACTGTGGTGATTCCCCTGCAGGCTTTACAGCAAGCAGGGGAAAAAAAATGACTAGGAAGGGTGAAGTTAGAATGAATGACTTGCATGGTTTTATTGTAACCAGCATTGGACCAGGACTTCTAGAGTCTGGCCCACATCATTCTACTTTAGTCATACTTAAGCACAGCACAATTTTGGAAAAAAGTTTTCTGGTAACAATTAACTTCAGCCCCGAGTTCAACACAGCTTAAGGAAGGCTCACACTGAAGCCCTTAACAAAGAACATATGGCTTCATCCATAAGATGGGCTCTTGTTGACATAGAAACAGTGCTCAGGATAAGGGTCTAGGGAGAATGACTGAGGTAAACATAATGCCTATGGGTGTCAGGATTGGCCTGGCCCTAAGATAACACAGAAATCACTTAGGCTGTTGTAATATACAAGTGACATCTCTCATAAGAATGGGTTTTATGGGCTGAAAGCAATGTTCAAGATTTAGGGAAAAGGGTCTGGGAGTAAAAATATAAGTACAAGTCCTGGAAGAACAGAACGGGACCACCAGTTTGTAAAATTCCATCATTCCTGGCATTCTAGGAAGAGCAGCTACACATCTCATTCCATCGAAGAGGTAAGCAAAGTGTTTAACTCTCCTGCCTTCTCCAGTGTTTATCTGTGTGCACAGGCCTTTTTGCCCTCTAATCCAGCCAGGCTGGACACACATAGGGGAGTGAAGAAGAAAGGGATACCTGCCTCACCAGCCAGATCCACTAAATCAACTCTGGCTATTCATGGGGAGACAGATGAAGCTAGATCCCACTCATCCCAAATCTAGAATCTTGTACATGGTAAGGAGTCAAGTCCAGAGCCCAGCTCTTGATGAACCAAACAAGGATCGGTAAGAAAACACCCAGAGCCAAAGGTCTAAAGGCACCCAGAGCCAAAGAGGGTGGGCGAAGACCAGGAGAGGGAGAGTGGCCAAGTTCTGATGAGAGATTTTCATGGAGCCACAGCCTCACCTTGTGGCTCCTTAGAGAACTGCACATATTACTTGTGTGTGTGTTTTCTTTTAGGCTACGTGTTTGTTATAAGGTTTTCTTTTTTAACTTAATCCACATTGGTGCTTTGCCTGTACTATATCTGTGTGAGGGTGCTGGATCCTCTGGAACTAGACGGAGTCACAGATAGTTGTGAGCTGTCATGTGGATATTGGGAATTGAACCCTGGTCCTCTGGAAGAGCAGCCAGTGCTCTTAACCACGGAGCCACCTCTCCAGCCTATGTGTGTGTGTTTTCTTACCGATCCTTGTTTGGTTCATCAAGAGCTGGGTTCTGACTCGACTCCTTAGCACGCACAAGATTATAGATTCGGGATGTGAGGGTGATCTGGCTGCACAAAAATACAGGTAATAAAAATGCTTTTCTTTTTAAGTAAGCATTCACACCCACAACACATAAGTAAATGTAATAAAAAAAAGCTTTCTTTTTAAAAAGACCTGAAACTTGGTGATCTCCACTGAAATAGTACTTCTGAAGATAGAATATATGTGGTTATTCTCCCAGTTCAGAGAATCGAATTCTTTACGATTTGATTTATGAATCTGCCTAATAAACCATGGTCTACACTGCATCCATTGTCTTGCTGCTCTGACAACAGCGACTCTGAAGCTGGGGTTTATTTTGGCTCACAGTTCAAGAATGCAGTCTGTCGCCAGGCAGTGGTGGTGCATGCCTTAATCCCAGCACTTGGGAGGCAGAGGCAGGCGGATTTCTGAGTTCGAGGCCAGCCTGGTCTACAGAGTGAGTTCCAGGACAGCCAGGGCTACACAGAGAAACCCTGTCTCGAAAACAAACAAACAAACAAACAAACAAACAAAAGAATGCAGTCTGTCACAGTGGGGACGTCCTGGGAGGAGACCCATGGGCTGCTGCTTACACTGCATGTGCAGTAGGCATGTGAAGTGATGCTTGAGAGACGGTGCTCCCATTTCCCCTTGCCACAGGTAAGGTGGCGCCCACCGCCATTACCCTAATCTAACAATCCACTACAGATACACCCAGAAGACTGTGTCCTACGTGATTCCATATCCTGTCAGGCTGACAATAATAACCGTAACTCCATACCCAAACACACTTAACCACTATTGAGCCATAACCTTTCTTCTCTTGTCGCCCACCTACTAAAAGGTTCATGGTCATCTTATAATGCAAAATATGTTCAGTCCAACATAAAAAAAAAATCACACTTTAACAGATCCAATATTGTTTAAACATTTAACTGCTGGGGGCTGGAGAGACAGCTCTCAGGTGATGAACACTGACTACTCTACCAGAGGACCCAGGTTTGATTCCCAGCATCTATATAGTAGCTGACAACCATCTGAAACTCCAGTTCTAGGGATCTGATTGTCTCTTTTGGCCTCCTTAGGCATCAGACACGCATGTGGTACATAGACATACATACAGGCAAAACACTCATACACATATAAAAAGTATAGCCACCACCAAGTCTCTTCTGAAACTCAGTAAATTTCTGATCTGTAAGCTCCTGTACAATCAAAAAACAAAGTTACATACTTCCAGTATAAAATGGTTTAGGATATGCATTCCCATTCCCAAAGGGAAGAATGGGGGGATAGCAAGGAATAAGATCAAAGCAAGGCCAAACCTAGGAGAGCAAACACTAACTCTTGCAGTTCCATGGGAGCTGGCATCTGGGACCCATAATGGAATACTGTGGGTTCCAAAGGGCTTGGGTGGCCCCGCCTTTCCAGATGCTTGTACAGCCTCTCTTGAGTAGTCCCCAGTCCACACATGCAGCTTTCCTTTACAAATGGACCATGATCTTAGCCATTGCCAGCATAGAAAATAAACAATGCAATCTGCCCCTTCTTCTGAGAAAGGCCTGAACACAGAACTGCTAATCAAGGGACCACCTATGCTTTAGCATCTTCCAGGACGCACCAGAAACTCACTATTAAACCTCCCAGTTAGTTCTCAGAACCTGCAAAGGCCAGATGAGCCATCAGCTCTCACTAGGCATGATCAAGTGGCTTCTCTTGTCCCACTGTAAACCACGTTCAGCACTGTGCACACGTTAACACCAGGGACACCTGACCTTTCCTGGTAGCTGTTGAGTCACCCTCAAGCAAGCTTGTCCCAGCTGCCTGGCTTCTTCCCACACATTCCTGTTTAGAGCAAATGGGACAGGCCTGGCAAGTGGGGGAAGGGACACGTTCACTTGTGTCTAACTCATTCAAACAGACAATGATTCAGCAGGAGCAAACCTCTGAACAACAACAAATTTCCCTGCATGATTCTTAAGTAGCAACTCCTTTGGAAACAAATGCATCTATCTCAACCGTCAACCTTCTATCCTATTCTGACAAATGCTGTCCTTGTACCCATGGCCCCTGACAGCCACCTGTACTGGCAAGGATGCCCCTTTCAGTTTGGGGCCTCAAAAATGAACCATCACAGGACTCACAGGCACAGACAGATGCCACAGATCCCCAGTGGCAGAGCATGTCTAGTAAGCAAGAACGAGGAAAGGAGCGAGTGGGGAGACGGAGCTCGGCGGGCCATGTGGCTTCAAGGCTTCTGGGAGCGAGTGTCACAGTGGAGGCCAGGCTAGGCAGGATGGCAACAGAAAAGAGTTAAATCCATGACAAAAGAGAAGACAGGCTTGAGATGGCTCTGAGCCTAGCTACATCAGGGTGGATATCAGGAACACTGTAGTCACAGATTTTAGAAAAGGAGACCCCAAGGGAGGAGAGAATGCTCTCACAAACGGTCTCATTCCCACATATGCACGTGTGCTGCCACCGACCTCCACAGAGAAGAATTGTTTCACCTGTGGGGATTCCTGAGGAGAGCTGTAGTGAGGGACACATACAATCAGCAGACACTGTATACACATAGGAATTTTTCTTTTTAGAATGATTTTGGAGTTTTTTTTTGTTTTCTATGTATGAGTATTTTGCTTGGATGTATGTCTGTGCACATGTCTGCTGTACGTACAGAAGTCAGAAGAGTGGTGGTTCCCTGGGACTGGAGTTGCAGATAACTGTAGAGGCCATGTGGGTGTCAGGAACTGAACCTGGGTCCTCTAGAAGAACAGTAGCCAGTGCATGTAACTGCTAAGCCATCTCTCCAGCCCCCATATGAAATGAACAAAAATTTAACATTTTTAAAAAGTTTTCCTGTCTCGAAAAACCAAAAAAAAAAAAAAGTTTCAACCTTGTGGTCCTAGTGGCCGTGGGTGGATGGTGGTGGAGTACTGGTGTTGCTCTGACATAGGGGTAGGCAGTGGTAGGCCAGGACCTGGTACATACTTTCAGAGCCTCTTCCTGCCACATCGAAAGGACAGAGAACACGAAGAAGCAATAATTATACACATGTTTGATACTGGTACTTGGGCGGGGCGCAGGGGGCATTTTGAGACAGGTCTCTGTGTTATATAGCTCTAGCTATCCTGGACACACTATGTAGGCCAGGCTGGCCTCAGTCTCAGTGATCTACCTGCTTCTCTCTCCTGAGTACTCTGGTGGAAGGTCTTTTCAAGTACCTCTTTTTATCTTAGGCATTTTATATCAGTATTTTATAATGGAAAATCAGTATTTTATAATGTTATTCCATGGAATCGACACTATTACTATACCTACCCATGTTTTTTTCCCCTCCTGGTCGTGTTTGGGCCTAAATTCCATTTTATAGATGAGAAAACTTTGGCACAGAGAAGTGAACTTATCCTGAATTAGTAGTATGGAAGGGACTTAGATCTGACAGGATTGAGAGAGCCTAGCTGCTTCCCTAACCTGTAAAAATCATCCAACAACTTAAAGGCTTTTAAAGGTTCCGGTTTTCTCAACTTTTGGATTCACTTGTTCTTGTTTTCTTTTGGCTTCCTTCCCTTACAGACCTTTCATCCTGTTAGGGGATGGGGAAACCACTTCAGTGCCAACAGAGGCCCATAAAGGCTGCCCAGAGAAGGGTATGTTTTTCAGTTGTGGGGGTAGGGAAAAACTTTTAAAAATCCTCCATGACGATGTGAAGCTGGGTTCCTTATACTCACTATTCCTAAGTGATTCAGAATTTAACCTAGTCTGTTGGAGAGAACAAGATGAGTAGTGGCTTGCATTTTAACCAAGCCCAACCCAAAAAGTGTCGCAAGCTGTATACCAGACTACCTCTTTCCGTGTCTTCCCAGTGAGGTCTACTCGAGTCTACTGCTCAGGCACTGGCAGTTTTCTCTCTCTTTCTTTCTGTCTCTCTCTCTCTCTGTCTCTCTCTCTCTCTCTCTCTCTCTTAATAATAAAGAACGCACTGAGTAAAACATGGTAATTATAAAATTACTAAGTTTGGGGCATGTGCCCCCGGGCTGCTGAGACTGGCTAACAGGTGACAGATGACAAGGATAGATCTTAAGAGATAAAAAGTGAGCCGCTTTGCTTTCCTCCTGTGATGCTTTCACTGGGCCAGGGAAGCAGCGGCCGCCTGGACGCGAGCGGCTGTGACCCGCCGATTCCCCGCGACCAAGGTCGACGCGCGCACAGCTGCATGGCTGCCAGAGGTGCGGCCCCAAGCGCTTTGCAGGCCGCTCCCACCCTCCACAGCCTGTCCCTCCGCTCGCCTCCGCCCGGCACGGTCCACAAGATGGAGGCGAAGGCGCGAAGCGCCCCCGCCGCGGCCAGCCTTTGTGCCCTCCGGGCCGCGGGCCTCCCACAGGGTCCCCCACGCGGAGCCCCAGGCACGCGGGAATGCCCGGTCTCGAGTCTCGGCGCCGCGACACCCTCGCCGGCCACACCATTTTTTACCTCACTCTGCACCGCCGCACGTCCCGAGCGGCTCGCGTAGCTGGGCCAGGGTCCCAGGCGGCGACGACTGGCCTCCGGCGGGCACCCACACTCCTGGGGAAGGAGGGCCGAGCGCCCGCCACGCCCTCCGCCCGTGCCGCTTCTCCGCGGAGGACGCCCGACGAAACAGCCAATCTAAACCCTCAGCTCAAACGCTTCTCCAATCGTCAGACCGCTTCTGCTTTGAGAGCCCGCCCCCTGCAGGGCCCTGGCCTATGGGAGGCCGGAGCTTCTTTCTCCGCTGCTCCGAGGAGCGGACCTGCTAGGTGTTTGCAGTCCTGAGGCTCACGCGGACCCACGCGGGTAGCAGGGCGCGCTCTCCGCGGATCGACGGCTGGGGTCGGGTGGGCTCCATGGGTTCAGGCTTGTGTTTGGGCCGACGTGCTCTTTGTGGCAGAGAGGGTGGTTCCAGGCCTGGTGCTCCTCTCTTACGTTGTGTGGAAACCCTAGAGGCATGCCCGAAGCAGGGCGTCAGCCGGGAGTCGGGCGAGGGCCAGGTATGTGTCTAGCGCCCCGCTGCCCATCACCACCGTTCAGAGACTCTGAGGCTCAGGAGGCCCAGCCCGTCACACCAATAGTTGGAGAAAGGACTTCCACAGTGTCCTGGCTGGGCCTGTGCGGTTAGAGAAGGAGCTGGACTGATTCTAACATGACAGAGACTTTTAGTCCAACCTGTGGCTCACAAACTTGACTGCCAGGCTGGCCTGGTGCGGTGCTTCCCCTGCCTTGGTTTCCCCAGTGCAGGGAGTACAGGCAAGCCCCATCATGCCCAACTTTTTATTTGACTTTGTTTTCTGTGAGAGGAAATTTCATCGTATCCCAGGCTGATTTTGAACTCCTGATTTTTTGTCTCTGTTTTCCAAGTACTGGGTGTTTTTAAGTAAAAGTGTATTGCTATATGCAAGTCCTTGAGTTCCCTCTTCAACCCAGAAGGAAAAAATTAAAAAGGAATTCAGAACCGAATATATCAAATGGGTAGTTAGCATTTACCAATGTGTATCCAGTTACTTGTTTAAAGGAAAAAATAAAGGAGTCATTTAGCAGTAAATATGGTAAATGCGACTGAGCATCTGAATAGTTTCACCAAGATGTGTTCAGTACTCTTCTTTGACCTTGGCACTCCGTCCTTCTGTAAGTGTTGTTGCTCAGTTGAAAGGGCATCCGGAAACACAGAAGCCCAGGAACCACACTGCTCTGAGAGGAAGCCTGCTCAGCAGAGGTGTTGCAGCTCCCAGGGAAGAGGATCCCCAGCTGAGCGGAGGAACTTGGGAGCCTTCGCCCCGCTCCAGTTCTTCAGTTCCTTCCTTCTTCATTGCTTCTTGGCTTCTTCTGATGAGAGAGTCCCACCAGGCAGCAAACCTCACATACACAAAGAGTTCTTATAGGGTCCAGGGTGTGGAGAGATGAATCCAGGCGCAGCTGCCTCTGCTCCCAGGATCTGACAGCAAGGAATTGAACAAAGGTCAGGGCTTATATGGGGTTTCTTAGGGGCTGGAGCTTTTCAGGGCAGAGATGTCCAGATTGAGGACTGGTGGGGTTTCAAGTCCCGAGCTTGGGTCGCTGAGGGATTGGTGAGTTTTTGTGCTCAGAGATTAGTTGTTTTTGTTTGAAGCTCAGGGATTGGCGAGTTTTCTGTTTAGGGATTGTTGGCTTTTTTTCCCCACCCCTCTTTTCTTGCTTTGGGCCTGTGGGTTGGGATGAGAAGATCTTCCTAGCCACAGGCTGCTTTGGCTGAGGCACCATCACTGCTGAGCTGCTTGGGGAGGTTGGAGGAGGTTTTGCCATTGTGAACAGCTCCTGCGCGGTATTTCATGAAGGCCATAAACTGAGATGGGAAAAGTGCTGCCAGCTCCTGTGGGTACCTCCTGCAGGCTGAGGAAATGTAGCTGTTTTGACAGTTGCCGTTTTTTTTATACCTCCTGTGGTGGTATTTTACAGCGGCAGGCTGGCGCCACCACTTTGACAGCTCTTGTAGGCTCAGGAACTATGACACCTTCTTCTCACCTTCTACCCTATATGCTCCTCTTCCCCTCCTCTCCCTCATCCCCCCTCCTCCCGCTGCCCTCTCCTCCCCCTCCCCCTCCCCCTCCTCCTTATTGAGACAAGGTCTCGTATATCCCACGCTAGACAGGAATCACTCTGAACATCTGAGGTCCTCTTGCCACTACATCCCCAGTGCTGGGTTTGGGTACCCCTGGCTGGTGTGTTGGGACAGTTAACCCAGAGCCTCATGCATGCTCAGCAAGTGCTCAAACAACTGAGCTCCATCCCATCACCAGGCCCTCCTATTTTTAATCCTTGGCATAAAAAAAAAAACCTACTGTAGTTTCATTTGTTGTCTTAATAAGGCAAGTTGATTTTTCCAAGCCATTTGGCCATTACTGCAGAGTATGTTAGTGGTTACCAGGATTTACACGTGATCACAACCAAAACAGTAAAAGTGTACCAGTGGATGAAACTTGAACCTTCTCCAAAACAGGAAGCTGAGATTTCTAGTGAGACATTTATTCCTACGCCCATCCATCTTGATCTCTTACTTCTGTATCATTCATTGGTACTTTCTGAATATAAGTGCAAATAGTATTTTGCATTATCCTTCAAGTTTTTCAAAGTTTTATTTTATTTTTTATATCATTTATTATTTGTGTGTGTGGGTCACACCACAGTGGGAGTGTAGATAGCAGAGGACAGCTTGTGGGAGTCCATTCTCTCGTTTCACAGTATGGTCCCAGGGATGGAATTCAGGTCATCAGGATTGGGGCAATGGGCTTCCTTGCCAATAAGATGGCAATGGCGTCCGTAGTAGGAATTCTGGCCCTACAGTGTGCCAGATTCATACGATGGGAATTTCTCTCCATCAGGGACATTTGCAGACACTTGGAAAAACAAATAAATAACAAATAATAAACAAAAAAAGGGAAGGAAAAGGAGAAACACCTTCATTGACTATTCTTTTTTCCCCACTGAGAGTCCATTGCCTTGTGAAGAATAAGATCAATAGCATTCTGGCTGGGAATCCAGCCATTACCTGTTTGTCTGCGGCCAGCCCGTATCAACCTCGTCATCTCCTTAAAGTCCCAAGGAAGATCTGAATGTTGGGCTGGTCCTGATTTACTGGTAGTTTTCATTCTGAGCTGCTTCAGTCTAGATTGGCTGACAACTTAAATACTCTTGGAGTTACTGCTCCCCCAACAGATTTGAGTTCTGCATAGCAGCCCCATGTTAAGAACTTCAGCAGATATGTTGAAGCTTCTAAAAGAGGACAGTAAAAAGGAGTAAACGTGGCATGGACGTCACTCTGCTGTCTCACTGACAAGGAAAGTATAGAGACAGCTATCTGAGTGAAAGTGAGGGGTTAGGATACAGAGCAACAGCAAGATATTCAGATGGCTCTGTCTTACGGCGTCTGCACCACAGACACAAAGCTGAAGTTAGAAGTTGTGGCTGGAGAAGTAAAGATGAGTGTTCTGTCATACAGATGCAATAGATCTGTAGTCAGGAAAGCGATCCTGTGGGTGTAGAGAGGAATGTAAAGCTGAAAAGCCAAGAGCAGGTGCTGTAATAATCGATTCAGCCACATTCTGTTTTGTTTTTCTAAAAGTTTTACTACATTTGTGTGTGTGTGTGTGTGTGTGTGTTGTGCCATGGCACACATGTGGAGATAAGAGTTGGTTCTCTGCTTTTATCATGTGGGTCCAAGGGACTGAACTTCATTTGTCAGACTTGGCAGCAAGCACCTTCCCCCACTGAGTTGTCCTTATTAAACCATTTTTTGTAATAACTTTAGAATTTGAAATCTGAAACAAACTGAATTGGTTTTGCCAAATGTATGGTGTCAGGCTGTTGGAATCTGTGTTCAGCTCACAGACTGCATGTTATCCAGCTTCTTGAGGTTGAGCAGTGTTTGGGGCTACAAGTGGAATTCTCCCCCAAGTTTCTCCGTTTCCCTCCTCAAGCAGGCAGCAGGCTTGTTTTACATTCCTCAGGGGATCTTTATGGTAGGCTGAAAGCTAAAGATGCCTGCAAATCATCTTCCTTCCTGGCTTCCTCCTGCTCCTTCCTTCCTTCCTTCCTTCCTTCCTTCCTTCCTTCCTTCCTTCCTTCCTGGCTCCCTCCTGTCCCCCTTACTTTCACTCACTCTTTTTTCCTTCCTTCCTTCCTTCCTTCCTTCCTTCCTTCCTTCCTTCCTTCCTTCCTTCCTTCCTTCTTAGAGGAGGGTCTATTGCGGCTCGTGGTTTCAGAAGTGTCAGTCCATCTTGGTGTGAAGAGCATGTCAGAGCGAGACAGCTCACATCCTGGCAGCCAAGGAGGAAGGGAATGGCGGTGTCAGCTGGCTTCCTCCTTTCCCCCTTCTGTTCAGTACAGCTCCCAGCCCATGGGATAGTGCTGCCTGAATCCAGGGTAGATCTGTCCCCTCAGTTAATCCTGTCTGTGAATGTCCCCACAGACACACGTAAAGGTATGTCTCAATACAAAGGGATGTCTCAATACCTTTTAAAGTGATTCGAAATCCAGCCAGGTTAATAGAAAGATGAACCATTGTGGACTCAGTTGGTAAAGTGCCTACTATGCAAACATAAGGATCTGAGTACATCCTCCCCCCACTCCCTGAACTCCTAGGCTAAAAAAGTTAAAAATAAAGCCAGAACTGGCGCCATATCCTTGCAATCCCAGCACTGGGGAGACAGAGACAGGCAGATCCTAGAACTCAATGGCCAGCCAACTAGCATAATCAGGAAGCCCCAGGTCAGAGAAAGACATTGTCATAAAATAAAACAAACCGGTGACTCTTAAGGAATGACCCCTAACCTACACAGATGAAATGCCATTTTAAAAAATTACCATCACACCTGGGTATCACACTTGAGACTCATACCTAAACTATCAGTCTGAGGGCAAGAGGATTGCTGAAGTTTGAGGCCAACCTGAGCTATGTAGAAGCTTCCAGGCCATCCTGAATGTATTGTGCCTTCCAGATTTGGATTTTAAAATTAGAACTCTTTCAAAAGTCTGAGGAAGATCTGGAGTTCAAGACCACTGTAAACTACATGTTATGATCCAGTCTCCAAAAGTTAAGA